TCGAAAGCTCTCTCTGGCTTCGGGGGAATTGGGAGAGCCGTGGACCAAGGCCAGCTCTCCACTGCTAGGCTCTCAAGTTCCACCCCTCGCTCCTTGCTCTCCACAAATAGCAGCCTCCTCAGGACAAGACACAGCCATCTCTGCCTTTACTCCTCCACCAGCCAAAAGGATAGACAGTACAGACACCTCCCCATCCTGGAAGCCCCAGAAAAAAATGTAGTTTTCACTCTCTGGTTGGGAGTCAACAGAGCTAGGAAAACAGATGAGGGATTGGACATCTGGGCTGTGACACAGGGAGGCAGGTGGTCAGGGAGAAGGAGGTGATGCAGTGAGTTCATGTAAAAAAAAAATGGTTTAAGGCTCAGATGCATACATTTGGCCACTATGTCATGCTCTCCAACACTATCCAGTGACTAGAACTGCTCATCTGGCCAAGCCCTCTCCCCTCTTTCACACCCCCACATGCCCACCACCAGCCTGTCTTCCTCTGCCTTGTCCCTCACTAAGGTTGCTCTTGGCATTGACACATGCTGCCAGTTGTCTTCCTACCTACCCCCTAACAGGGAAGCTCACCTGACAAAAGGCTCCCGCCTTTGAACATAAGTCTGGAGTCAGAAACTCCCTAAAAGTTTACCCAAGTCCAGCCAACCAAATGTGCTATTCCCATCCCCACTCTCTCAGGTGGATTCTAAACAGCAACCACACGAGGGACCACAAAGCCAACCAGCAGCACTGAGTTGAGCAACAAGGGCAGTAGTCCCCATTCCATGCCCTCCCCCAGCCCAAAAGTTGACACTAGAACAGGAGGAGTAGATGCTGTACTCCCGCCAATGGATGACAACTAGAGTGAGGAAATACCAGATCATTATCTGTTGACAACAAGGGTGAAACTACTTGGGCATGGATTATCCCAAACAGTCAATATCCTTTAAAAAAAAAAAAAAAGAAAGGAGGAGGGGGCTGGCTAGTTAGCTTTGGTAGATTCACTGTCACACTTCTGTCTTACAGTGGTTGATACTAAAATGACTCTATAGCATTAGCTTACTGAGGAATGCTGGGTTTCAGGGCTCACTGGCCAGAGATTAAACATTGACTCCCGACAGAGGTTAAACATTGAGCCCAGGCTGGGGTTTAACATCGACTCAGCCAGAGATGTGCATGTGGGAGCAGAGAGCTGGCAGTAAACAGCAGTGATAGGCATTTCATCCGTCCTCTTACCTCATTCACATACCACATTCACAGGAACCATCCCCAGTGAAGGGTGCCGGGAGGGCAGTGGGGACGTGGGGAGGAACTGTATGACTGTGGTCTCCCCTTCTGTTGGTTGCTGGGTCAACCCAGGGTCTTGAAGCATCAAACTAAGGATGCCACCCTGAAGGGTTGATGCTGTGTGGGCCTGTGTGTTTGGTCCTCTCCAACCTTCCCAAGATCAATCAAAGGGGCAAAAGGGAGTCCTTTGCTGCCTGTGAACACACAATTCAAAAGTTTTAGAAGCGGGGGAAATGCCCAATGCTGGGAGGCCTTGGTGCTCCACCCCGCCCCCCCCCCCCCTCATCTACACCATTGCCTCATTGTGTAAACTTGGGCAAGTCATTCCACTTCTCTGCCCTTGGTTCTTCATGGATCAGTGGGGAATAACTCTTTGCTTTGGAAGCCTATGCTGTCCCATTTATTGAAGCTGATCGATAAGCACCTAGCAGATGCCAGCTAATGCACGTTATACTTAATCTTTTTAACATACATACAGGGTAAATATAATTAGCCCCGTTTTATAAATAACGTGTCCAGGGTCCCTTAGCTAGCAGGTGGCAGGCTTGGATGTGAACCTGGGCGTGCTGGGCCTGGAGCCTGTGAGCTTTCCACAGGCTGCCCTGCCTCTCCACACTGGCTGCCACCTGACTGCTCTCCTTGGTGGTGGCAGCGATGTGATGACTCCTCAATTAGACCATATGCCCTTGGGGAACAGGGATGCCCATTCCTGTATGTCTCAAATCTGCCCGGACCTTGAACTGGTCTTGAACATAATAGATGCCATGCTAGGCTGAAAAATGCCACCCCCCAAAACATGTTTATCTCATGAAACCTGGAATCTGTACATGTGACCTTATTTGGGAAAAGGGTCTTTGCAGATGTGATTCAGTTCAGGATCGTGAGATAAGATCACCTCGGATTATCCAGGTGGACCCCAAATACCATCCTTAGAAGAGAGAGGCAGAGAAACCTCTCAGCCACAGAGAAGGCAGTAGGAGCACCAGGGCAGAGATTGGAACAAGCAGCTACCAGGCAAAGAATGCCAAGGGATGCCAGCAGCCGCCAGAAGCCAGGGGCAGGGGGGGCGGGCAGATTCTCCATGGAGCCTCCAGAGCAGTGGTTCTCAACTTCCTAATGCCGAGACCCTTTAATACAGTTCCTCATGTTGTGGTGACCCCCAACCATAAAATTATTTTCGTTGCTACTTCATAACTGTAATTTTGCTACTGTTATGAATCAAAATGTAAATATCTGATATGCAGGATGTATTTTCACTGTTACAAATTGAACATAATTAAAGCATAGTGATTCATCACAAAAACAATATGTAATTATATATGTGTTTTCCGATGGTCTTAGGCGACCCCTGTGAAAGGGTCATTCGACCCCCAAAGGGGTCACGACCCACACCTTGGTTTCTGACTTTTGTCCTCCGGAACGGAGAGAGAATACATTTCTGTTGTTTTAAGCCACGGTGGTTATGGTGACTTGTTGCAGCAGCTCCAGGACCCTAAAGCGGTGCTCAGTGAAAACAGAATCCTAGAAATAGGAAACCCCGGGAAACCATTTGGCCCAGCCCTCCCATTTAGCAGCTGGAATAATCACAGCCCTAAAGGAGGACGCAATTGGCAGCGGCCACTCAGCAAACTGCAGGCAGAGCCAGAACCAGGACCCAGGAGTTCTGACCCCAGGCCAGGGCTCTGCGTGTCCCCACACTGACTCATGCCAAGTCCCGAGTCATGAAAGTCAATTGAGAGGCTGTACTTCTTATTATATGCTCCTCATACTATTATTTTAAAAGAGAAGGAAGTGCTTAAGCACGTGAAGTAAGTTTTGGAAGGTAAATGACTGCTGTTACCATCCTTATTATTGAGTTGGGCAGTTGGGCCTCTTGGCCAGTTCCTCCACCCCCAGGAATGGGATGCAGGGGTTACTTTTAGGGGCACCGAGTCCCAGATGGGGAAACCACCACGAGAGAGGGGAAGCTGGGGGACTCCAATCACACCACAGCATGTGGCTGAGCCCAAAATAAGATGCAGGGTTTTGACTTCCTGGTTCTTACCTGGGTTCTACTTCTCATTTTCCCTTTCCCTAAGCTGGGTCATAGAACAGGTGGGCTTTAGAAGTGTATCTATGCATGTGTGTATGTGTATGTGTGCACACATGTGTACTTTTATGTGTGTGTATCTGTGCATGTGTGTGTTCACACGTGTGTGCTTTTATGTGTTTGTGTGTGAGTATCTATGTGTGTGTGTGTGTGTGTGCACATGCATATGTGTCTGACACGGTCTGCTAAGATAGTTTTGGGGACTCCTGGGAACACACGCTGGGTCATGACCTAGGAAACCCCACCATCATAGAGTACAAGCACATGGAAGAAGGTCTGGGGCCCCCGAAACAGCATGAGAAGCAATCGTTTCATGGATAAGCTTCCTGCCCTCCCCTCTAGTCCTCCCCTCCTCACTCACCTAGTCTCTGTCCTAGTATTCAGTGGGCCCACTTACCCCAGACTTAACATGAGTCCCAGAGGAGAGACGGAGACAAAAGGGAAAGAACATCTAGAATGAGAGTGAGTTTTAAATTGGGAACGAAGTAACTGAGATACCGTTGAACTGGACCCAGTTTGCTTGGAAGTGACTAGGTCATTTAAGTCTTACATTAGTCAAGCTGTGCATTTAGGGTCGGAAATTAAGCTCCATAATAGAAAATACAATTTCTTTACTTGCCATCCAAATTCATGACGGTGGGTGGGTTCCCACCTGTGAGTGAGTGGTGAGCTAAAATAAGCCCCCGGGCTCTGACCGCCCTGTGCTTTCCGGGACTCTATTTCTCCTTCCCCTCTAGGCTTGGCCTACAGGACACTGGAGTGAGAGCACGGGCCAACCCTGCACAGGTAGAAAGGGGCAGGATTCTGTGTGGCATGGGGTAAGGGGGAGGCATGTGTGTGTGTGTGTGTGTGTGTGTGTGTGTGTGTGTGTGTGTTGGGGAGGGGGCTTCACTGTGTGACCCAGGACTGCCAAGGTCATTTGGGGAACACCTGGGAGTCCTGACCAGGTCATGACCAGAAGGCCACGAGGGACTCGCTGAGGTGGAGAAGGAGGTTTCTACTCCAGCTCACAGATCGGCACCTTCTTTGATGTGGCCCCAAGCCCAGGTCTTGACAAGACTCGGAGGTTCACCATTTCAGGGGAGCCCGGCGGCAGCCAGCGTCTTCATTCCTCTAGGAGTGGAAAGGAGAGAGCCGCGGTCCCTCTAGATCCCGGAAGCACTGGCACTGGTCAGGGGGCTCCGCAGAAGATGTGTAGAGGGCGCTCAATCCAGGCCGTGTCCTAGGGGCTGGGGGGCAGTGTTCCCGAGTGAGTGGGGGCTGAGACCGATCCCTGCCACCTGCGCTCCATCCAATGCATGTCAATATCATACCACGGCCTGGGCCTGGTGTCTTACATCTAACATCGGGTTATACCCTCAACCTTCAGGTTTGGTGTTCCTGTCCCTACTTCCCACCTGAAAAGAAATATGAAGGTGACGTGCCTGGGGCCCCGCAGCTAGAAAGTGGCAGAAGGGCCCTTCATGCTCTCAAACCCTATAGCTGCAATGATGTGGGGCTTCCCAAGTAACAGTCGCCCCAAGGTCAAGGGGAAGCAGTGGAGGCAGCCCAGAAAGCTGAAGGGGAAGGAAAGCAAGGATCTGTGGGAGTCACGTGGCCCTGGCTGGCTGCCACACCCGTGGGAGAGTGTCCCTTTAAGAACCCAGGTGTGGGCCAAGCACTGTGCATAGTTTCAGTTTTGGCAGCAGCACCCAGTGTCCTGCTGGCAACTCCTAGGAAGGCAGGGGTTGTGGACTCGCCAGCAGGCTGTTCCCCCGAAACTGACTCGACGCGAGAGAAGCAAGTCTCTAAAAGTAAGTGTGGCTGCTCTGGGATCCCCAGATGGGATACCATCTGGAAGGGCCTGGGATGGTGGCATAGGCAACCCCCTACATTCACAGGCTCTCAGCCTCCCAGCGCCAGGCGAGGAGGACTGAGCACATGCTTGGGGAGTAGAGGTGCAGATCCCAGAGAGATGGGTAGGGGCGCAGGAGTGTGGAAGCCCCCACCCCTTGTCTGTGGAATTTTGCAGGTGGGAAGAAGGATGTCTGTGCTCAGCACATGTGGTTGTTCTCCAAGTTTGAGCCCTGAGTTCCCTGCTAACCCCTCCACAGGTGCAGTGTGTGGCCTTAGGCAAGTCCCCTCATGGCTCTCTAAGCCTTAGTGTCTTCCTCTGTAAAATATGGATAAAAATAACACCCATCACCTGGGTGGATGTGAGGTTGAAATGTGAGGTTCAAATATGTGTGAAATTGCTTTGAAAACTCCTGAGCAAAAGTAACAACTGTTGGGTGTTTTTTTTTATTTAGTTCAGTTACTCAAGGACTTGTGAGCATCAGACAGACCTGGATAAGATAATGCGTATAAAGTGCCCCGCACATAGCAGCGACTCTTCTAGCCTTTGGCGCTTTCTCCTCCTCCAGCTTCCTGGTGAGGGCTCATGCAGCCCCTTTTCCGGGGCTTCGAGGAAGCTCTGAGAGCCTAATTTCAACCCAGCTTTGCTCCATGAGGTGTAGCACCATATTGTTCTGCCTTTGCTAAGGTGGGGAAAATGAGATCCTCCCAGGGTGAGCGAGTAAGGTGGACAGAACCCGCTCCCCAGGACAGCTGGCGTTCTGGCGTCCTGATGCTATTCCTGGCTCTGCAGACATAGTCCTCTCCTCCACGCCCTTCCTCTTGCCCATCCTGACAGGGTCCCCAAGCCAGCCCTGCGCCTCCAGCACAAGCTCCATCCTCGCCGCCCCAGTTCCCTTCCTGCAACTGTCTGAGGCCTGGGGTCGCCCGAGCTGCTGGCTCTGTTTTGGACACAGCCGTCCCTCTCCCCTTCATGAGGGGAATTACAGGTTCCTTAGCATCTGGAGAGGGGACGCGCGGATTCCTGGGATAAGGTAGAAGGCCGCTGTCTGGTCTGCCCGGAGCAGCTCTGCGCTCTGCATGCCTCCTTCTGGCCTGGATGTGGGGCTGCTGCAGAAAGAGCCATGCACCAGGAGTCAGGAGAGCATCTGAGCTCTGCGGTCATTGTCTGTCCCTGGGCAGCCCTCGCTCTTGGTGGCTTTGTTTTATAAAGAGAGTGACAGCAGCAACTTCCACGTAATGAATCCACCTACCCGGCCTCTAATCTCATTCCCGCCTGAAACACACCTGGGTGGTAGGCAGGGTGGGTGTCACAATCGCATCTTATAGTCGGGAAACTAAGACTCCATGAGCTAGTGCGAGTGGTGTCAGGTCACCCACATGTACGAACGATGACATTTTGGCGCAGTCATTTGATGTGGTCATGGGGACATGTTGACATCACCTGAGAAACGAAATAACCAACTTTTGAAAAGTAGTATGACCCAGGCACGTGCTCAGCAGGGACTCCCCGAATCTGTGTCTCGCCCTTCTGAGTGGGCTGAGGCCACGGTCGCCCAGACCCTGGCCTTGACACAGTAGGACGTGGTAGAGAGAAGCTTTGGAGGCAAGTGTCTGGTTACAGGAAACAACTGTAACATGCCCTGCACATGGTAGGTGCCCAATAAATAGCAGCCATTATTATTTCCAGGAAGAAACATCTTGTTGGCAGCTACCTCTGGGTTCAGGTGTCCCTCTGCTGGAACTAAGTCTTCTGTGAAAGGTGGAGGGCAGAGAACGAAACTAACTTCTCCACGATTGGATTTCCTTCTCCCAACTGTTTCCCCTCTACCTCAAGGCCCCGCAGAATAGCATAGTGACAGAGAGCTTAGACCAGGGGTGGGCAAACTTTTTGACTTGAGGGCCACAATGGGTTCTTAAACTGGACCGGAGGGCCGGAACAAAAGCATGGATGGAGTGTTTGTGTGAACTAATATAAATTTAAAGTAAACATCATTACATAAAAGGGTACGGTCTTTTTTTTTTTTTTAGTTTTATTCATTTCAAACGGGCCAGATCCAGCCCGCGGGCCGTAGTTTGTCCACGGCTGGACTAGACTGTGTTTCCTCTCCAAGACCACCCTCTGCCAGATTTGCCCTTGCAGCTGTGCATGCCTGCTGCTTGCATCTCTGGCCCATGGCTGTGCAAAGAGTCACGGGTACACGCGTGTATCTTCCCCAAACCCGGACACCCACAGCCATCCAAACATGTCACACATGAGAGGAAGCCTGTGCTGAACATCGGGATGCCTGTTGCAAACCCTGGCATCTGACTCTCTGTGACCAGGGCGAATCGCTTTTACCCATTCGAGGAGGGCTGCATCCCCAGCTCAGCCCATGGGAAGACTCACTTCAGTCTCACAGAAATATTAAGAAGCTGGCTTATCTAAATAGAGAACCAGAACCACGGAGAGCCACTGCTGGTGGCTCTTAAAACGGCAAGTGGCATTTTGCCCTCCTACCTGCCACTGAACCCAAGGCCAGTGCAAATGGCAGGTGGTAGATTCCCCCAGACTCTGCAGCCATGTGTCCCAGAGGACACAGACTTCTCAGCCTTCTGACACTTGCTCCCACCTGGGAGCCTCCCTCACGGTGACTCCAGTTGCTCAAACAGGTGGTTCCCCAGCCAGCGTCCCCTGAGCCCCTCCAGGGTGAGGCTGATGTGGCGTTTGGCGAAGGCCCCACTCCAGAAGTTAATCATTGGCCTGGTGTGAACGGTCCAGGGCAATTAACCAGAATCAAGAGCCTCAAATTGCCACCTGACACCCATATCTGTCCCCACCCCCCGCCCCCCCAACACCCCATCCTGCTCCCCTTCCTCTTCCAAAGAACTGGAGAAACAGAGTACCTTTATCTACACAAGGAAATAGAAAGGTTCCTTGCTGGGAAATTCCCCCAAGAAAAAGAAATAACCAAGATAAACAGCTCTATTGCCTTTGGCTCAGGCTAGCGAAGGGAGTCGCTGCTGGGCAGCGAGGGCTGGGCAGTAAGGGGAGCCTGGGAGAGCCGTCCGACTCCCTACTGCTTTGAGCTTCCTTATGTTTGGGGTGGCTCATTATTGCCCAAGCTCAGTTAACATGCGTCTCTCCTTCAACACTCTTGCTTTCAAGTTCATTGGCAAGTTTAAAGCCTGCCAGAGTCTGTGGGAAAGCAGGGACTCCCCTCTCCTCCCCTGGGCTGCAGCTTGTGTCCTAAAAACAGCTGTGGTCAGACTGGGCCCTGGGACCCTCAACTCTCCCCAGCTCTGGGCTGTGTCCACAGACTCGACAAGGTCCACCTGCGCTGCACTCTCTGAGAGGCTTTCGTCTGCCCAGGCGCTCCAGGCAGGATAGCAAGAACCAAGTCTCTGGGGGAATCAGGGGCGTATCATTCAGCATCTCAAGATCTTGATTTTCTTCTGCATAAGATGGCTATAATTCTATCTGTTTTGTCTTATTTAAAGGGAAGTTATGAAGCTTCAGAGAAATAGTGTAAAGGACAGGGTTTTAGAGCAACGAGGAGTCTAAAATAACAGGAATAAGGCCGTAGGCCTAGCAGGCTTGGCTCAGTGGATATAGCGTCGGCCCTCGGACTGACGGGTCCCGGGTTAGATTCTGGTCAAGGGCACATACCTCGATTTCAGGTTCCCCGGCCCTGGTCAGGAGGCAGTCAACCCATGTGTCCCTCTCACATTAATGTGTCTCTCTGTCTTTCCCTCTCCCTTCCACTCTCTCTAAAAATCAATGGGAAAATATCCTCGGGTGAGGATTAACCAAAATAAATAAATAAATAACAGGAACAAGCTCATGGGCTAAGCACACTGCTGTATTTGAGGTGTAATTACAGTGCAGTGGGAGAGATTATGAGTTTGGATTTGAGAGTCCGGCAAAGCTGAGTTCAAATCTCGCCCACCTTCCCCACCCACACACTTGATCCTTGTGCGACCTTGAGAAAGGCACTTAATCTTTAAGCTTTCATTTCTTCCTATGTAAGATGTGGATAAGAATCCCTACCTCATAAGGGCTGATATCAAGTTTCAATGAGACAATACACCTACATTATTTCACACAGTGCCTGGAACATGTAAGAAAACAGTTGATGGTGGTTATGCCCATCGTTGTTACATTTGAAACTTTAATCCTTACTAAGCTTTCTCTATGGGTCTTGGTTTACTCATATGAACACACCATAAAATATGGCAGCCCCCCTCCACCTCCCAGGACGGCAGCTGAGACGGAGAGATGGGACCACATGTTGGTAGTAACCAACCATCCAGCGAGCCGTTCCTGAGATCTTGCAGATCATGCTCAGGACTGTGCCTCCCAGGCGGAAATACCGAAGAAATGGCACTTGTGTCCTGTCCCAGAGAAAGTTGCAGATGAGTTGAGAAGATAAAAATATACATGATGACTTTTGAGGAACGAAAAGTACTGTGAGGTGACAAGACTTTGAGTTCTAATGGGAAAGGCGGAGTCATTCATTCTTTCAATAGGATTTATGTCCATTACTGGAGATACAACACCAAACTGGTGTTACAGGAACTCTAAGGTCATGTAGACTTGGAAGGCATAGGAGCTTCATCCCCTCATGCCATTGTCTTTCAGCATCCAAGCAAGAAATTGGCCTGGGCCCCGCAGCCCAGAGGGAGCCACCAACGATGTCGCTCTTCTTCCTCGCCTGCCTGCTGGCTGTCCTCCCAGGTGTGTATGCCAGGTCCCAGCCCACCCCCTGCAGGATCCAGTTCCCTGGGGACACTGAGATCAGGCCCATCCCCAGGGATGCCCCTCTCAAAAAGTATATTCCCTCAAGAAGGGATCACACAGGTGATGGGGAAAATAGATTGCGGATCAGGAACAGAAATGGAAGTTTCTCATTTCAAGGCCAGGGGTCTGCTCTTCACTGGGAATTTTAAAAAAGACCTAGACCTTGAGCCAAACATCTCTATGAGATGAATGGGGTTTGGGAAAAAATGACTTATCCTTCCTGGCTCTCAATATTTTTATCTAGAAAAAAAAATAATCTAGAATGTGTTTTTAGGAAAATACAGACAGTAAATGCAAAAGTTTAGCACCCTACAAAAGTGTTTTTTTTTAAATAACCAAGGGATATCTATAATTAAAGCATAATATGCTAATTAGACCGGATGTCCTTTCGGACGAAGCTGGGGCTGCAAGGGAAGCCCGGGTCCGGGGTGCCAGAGGGAAGCTGGTGCCGGCAGCCAGGGGAAGGAAGGCCTACTCTTACACGAATTTCATGCATCGGGTCTCTAGTCATTAAATAAGTTCACATTTCATTGTCCTTCGAATGATTATCATTAATAAATTATCATTGGAATTTAATGATTAATCACTTCTTTTACCCAATAGCAGCAATTGTCTAGCTGTAGTACAGGCAAATAATCCACTGAAGGCCCGTGAGTTGGGTGGAAATGTCATCTCCTTAAGGTGGGCTATCGGCATTCTTTCAGCAGGTTTTACCTCCCACGACCTCAGAAAGCCTCTGTTCTCTGTCCCCACAGTGGTCTCCATGAAGAGTCCCATCTTCGGCCCCCAGGAGGTGAGCAGAGTGGAAGGCAGCTCAGTGTCCATCAAATGCTTCTACCCAGCCACCTCTGTCAACCGGCATTCCCGGAAGTACTGGTGCAAGCAGGGAGCCAGGGGCCGTTGCACTACCCTCATCTCGGACATCTACTTCTCCAAGGACTATGAGGGCAGAGCCAACATCACCGATTTTCCAGAGCACAACATGTTTGTGGTAGACATTGGCCATCTCACCCAGAATGACACTGGGCACTACAAGTGTGGTGTAGGCATTGTTAACCAAGGCCTGTACTTTGATGTGAACCTGGAGGTCATCCAAGGTGAGGATCCTTGGGCTTCTGTGGGAGAGTGAGAGGGAATCATCCCAGGTGCAATGGGAGGGCTAGAGGAAGAATGTGATGAGAGGGAAAGGGAGCCTAGTATGAGGTGGGGAAGGCTGTGCGTCCTCCTCCCTCTGGAGGCAAGGACCTTTGGTAACAAAACATGAGAATGAGACAGATGGCACCTATCTGGGAGTGGCAGATGGACTTTTCTAGATCTTTGGGGCCTATTACATTTTAGGGTTTTACTGAGGCCCTAGCTTCTAAGCGCATTAGGAGAACAACTCTAGTGTTTGGTGAGGTGGGACGGGAGGTCTATGTGCTGAGGGATGTAGAAAAGGCAGGGAGAGATGTAGAGGGATCCTTAAATTCCTGCTACTAGTGCACCCTTTAGATCAAGACTTCAGGTCACCAGAAGGCTTCTTTGAAAATGCATTTTTTATCCAGGACCCATTAGTCCATCAACACTCTCAGCATAAACTATATGGCCAGTTCTTTTCCAAAGACCAGGGCTCTGAAAGGACGGGCCTTTGAACAAGCCCGTTCTAATTGAGAAAATAAAAAAAATAAATAAAGATTTTTGTGACAAGGTTTCAATGACAAGGGCATTTTAGATAATGAAGGGAAATTAAAAGAGAAAGGTCTTAAGGGAGGAAATTTTGAGGGATTCCCAAAGATATGTTTTTCTGTTTTGGGGGTGTGCTTAGTATTATCTGTGGACCCAATAAAGAGTTAATTCAGGTGATTGTGGAGATTCATAAAATCAGAGTCTTAAGGGCTAAGGAGAGCTTAAAGTTGGCCCTATATAGGACATCCAGGAGAACATTGGAGATGATGGGGATGCAGCCACCGGTCAAACAGTATAAATGGCAGAAATTCATTACTTCACAAAGAAGTGCATTCCATGTTTAGACTGTTGTACAGTTTAGAAACTCTCTCACAATACACTGAAATCCATGCCCTTGTGCTGACATTCATTCTGCTCATTTTAATGCACGTTAATTTGGACACTGACTGTGTAGAGGCATCATGCTAGGTCCTGCATGGGAGTTGAACATGTGTAAAGCATCTGCCCTCGAGGGACTTCCAGTCTGTGGGGAACATAATTAACTAAACACAAGACTGGATGTATGTGATACAGATGTAAGTAAAAGGAGAACACAGAAGATGGAAAGATTAATGCCAGCTTGTGGGGCGGGGGGTGGGGGGAGGGGGTGGACTTCATGGAGGAAACAGCAGTAAAGGTAACGGGCTCACCCAGACCTTCACTGGGAACACTGAGTAGTCCTATGTCTCCAGAAAGTGAAACCACAACTCACTTCCTGCTCCTCATCCTGCAGGTCCCGGGCTCCAAAACGGCATTCGAGTCTATACAGCAGACGTGGGCAAAAAAGTGATCATCAACTGCCCTTTCACGTCCGAGAATGCTATGCAGAGGAAGTCTGTGTGCAAGAAGACAGGCAAGCAGTGTGTTCTAGTCACCGACTCCACTGGGTATGTGAGCCCTGACTACAGCAACAGAGCTGAAATCACTATTCAGGACACCAGCCAGCTATCGTTCAGCTTCATCATCAACCGAGTCAGGCTCAGCGATGCCGGGAAGTATGTCTGCCAGGCTGGGGATGATTCTAGGGGTGACAAAAGCAATGTCGACCTCAAAGTGCTGAAGCCTGAGCCTGAGCTACTTTATGGAGACCTGAGGGGCTCAGCGACCTTTGACTGCACCGTGGACCCCGAAATGGCACGTCTGCCCAAATTTCTGTGCCGGGTGAACAAAGATAAAGCCTGTGAAGTGGTCATCAACACCCTGGGGACAAGGGCTCAGGCCTTTGATGGAAGGATCCTGATTACTCTCAAGAACCAGGGCTCCTTCAGTGTGCATATTACTGGCCTGAGGAAAGAGGATGCTGGGAGCTACCTGTGTGGAGCCCACTCTGATGGGGAACCTCAGGAAGGCTGGCCCATGCAGGCATGGCAACTCTTCGTCAATGAAGGTGAGACTTGAGAGCGGGGGAGGGAAGAGGTGGGGCGCTCTGGCAGGTGAGAGCCTAGCTCACTCCCGGTGAGTCTATTCAGTCTTCATCTGTCAGTCAACAATATCTGTTCACGGACGAGCCCTGAACTGGATGCTATGTGGGCAGCTGTACAGGACAGCTAGGAAACACAGCCTCTGCCTCGTGTTATCTTTTAGTTCTTCTCTGTCATCATTCTGATGGCTGTCCCTGGTTAATAGACATGCGGAGAGTGAAGCTCCTGCTTGAAGCAAGACTTGTAGATTGGCTGGGCTTCAGAGAGCCACAGTGAGGACACCACATGGCATCCCAGGACTTGCAGGCCCATCTGTCCTTTCTCCCTAACTCTTAGCGGATGGCTCCTTCTGACTTACACTCAGATGATAGAATCAGTGGCTTGTGTTGCTCTCAAAGCTTTCCCAGGAAGGCAACACCCTGCCTCTAAATGTTCCGCTCCAACATCTCTTAGGATTGATTGTTATTCAGCAAGATCTGGCTTACTAAGCTCTACTTTGGTGAGCCACCAATATGGCGAAATACTTAAATCCCTGCTCTTTCTCACCCCAGAGCACTCTGCATGGAGTTACCCTCATAAGAAACAACAAACCAGTACTTACTGCCCTTGTGCCTTTTAAGGGGCTCACACCCCCTGGGCATCATTTCTCTGTCCGGCGTGGGGTCCTTACCAAATTCCTCATCCACTCCAGTCACCCAGGATCTCGCTGAACCTCAGCATGAACTTCTTGGAGAAGGGCTGTCCTTCTCTTTGGGAGGGCCCTTGGGGTCCCCAACAATTAAACGTATCTGTGCTACAGAGTTTGTATTTTAAATCACACCGTTCTAAATATAATTTCTTAATTTGGAGAAAATGCGTCAGGCTATTTTTGTGGAACAAGCTAATAAACAGGCAAAAAGTTATATACAGGAAGATTTTGTAAGAAGGCAAAGAGAGGAGCTGGTAGTCTCTCCTTAAATTCCTTCCTGCTCAGAATAAGGTGGGGGAAGGAGCAAGATGTCCCGACTAGCGGTGACGATTACAGGGGTCTGTTTGGGCAGCTCCAGCTACAGGCTCGGTGACGTTAGGAAAGTCTTTCTCACTTTCTGGGGCAGGTGAGGTCATTAGTATGAACCTCACCCTGAATGAGACCAGGGAAGAGCCTGCTCAGACCATGTTGACTTTCTTCCATGCCATCTCTGTCCTTCTAGAGACGACGATTCCGCGTATTGTCTCTGTGATGAAAGGTGTGGTAGGAGGCTCTGTGGCCATGCCCTGCCCCTACCAGCCTAAGGATAAAAATAGCCAGAAGTACTGGTGTCGCTGGGATGAGCAAAACAGTGGCTGCCCACAGCTGGTGAGCAACGAGGGGCTGGTTAAGGAGCAGAGCAAACCCTACGAGGGCAGGCTCGTCCTGCACGAAGAGCCAGGCAATGGCACCTACACGGTCATTCTCAACCAGCTCACCACCAAGGATGCTGGCTTCTACTGGTGTCTGACCAGCGGTGATACTCGCTGGTGGTTCACGGTGGAGCTCAAGATTGTGGAAGGTAAGCCCTGGTCGGGTGGCTCGATTGATTGGAGCATCAGCCCGGGCACCAAAAGGTAGTGGGTTCGATTCCTGGTCAGGGTATATACCCACGTTGCCAGTTCAATCCCTGGTTGGGGCATATATAGGAGGCAACCTATCAATGTTTTTCTTTCTCTCTAAAAAATCAATAGAAAAACATATTCTCAGATGAGGATTTAAAAAAAAAAGGAGCTGAACTGGAAAAGTGGGAAGGGAGGCAGCCCAGGGCTCCTCCAGTCAGCAACAGCATCACCCCCTACCACTCTTCTACTTCACCCACCTCCATGCTGGTGGGACAGACCTCAGGAGAGAGCCTGCCTATGGAGAGGTCATGCTTTCAGACCTGCAGCAAGCATCCTTCACTTGGGCTCACTTCATCCATCCTATCTGACGTGAGCCCAGCCTTTGTATTGAGTCCAGGAAAGAAGAGCAAGGAAAGCCAACTGAAGCTAGTGTGCAAGGTTCTCTGTTCTGTGATAGACTGATTGCTTCCTGGTGGTCACTCCTAAAAATTATTACCTGGGTGCATAATTACATGTAATTACATGTCTTATAATGCCATTCTTTATAATGCTGTCCAAAAAGGAAATGAGCTGTGGACCAAGGTCCCCACCACAGCCATTTCCCTGCAGCATCGTCACCAGTGCCAACTTCTGTGCCTATTTCTCCCTCCCTCCCTCCCTCCCTTCCTGCTCCAGGAGAGCCAAACCTCAAGGCACCCGAGAAAGCCATTGCGTGGCTGGGAGACACTCTCAAGGTGCCCTGCCACTCGCCATGCAAGTTCTTCTCCTACGAGAAATACTGGTGCAAGTGGAGCAACAAAGGTTGCAAGGTCCTGCCCAGCCAAAACGAGGCCTCCAGGCAGGCCTCTGTGAACTGCGACCCGAACAACCAGCTCACCTCCCTGATCCTGAACCCAGTCACCAAGGAGGATGCAGGCTGGTACTGGTGTGGGGTGAAGGATGGGCCCCAATTCGGAGACACCGTGGCTGTCTACGTGGAGGTCAAGGAGAAGGCGAAGGGTGAGTCTTCAAGGCCAAGGCCTGCTTCCCCCGGGACCCCAGAGAAAGGCTCCTGCTGGGTGGGGGCCCAGGTTTGGCTCCAAGAGGCTGGGATAGAAGAGGTTTAGCCCCCACAGAGTCTCAGCCCTCCAAAAGGGGCATCCCAAATAAACACACAAACCAAGAAAAAAATAGCAGGCCTGCCATTTAACCTCAGCTTCAAGACAAGTCCCATGGTTGCCCCTCTGGGCCATTTGAAAACCTTTCTATATGTAGAGATCTTCCTTTTTATATAGAAATTTCTAAGTCATTGTCCTATGCAATACACTCTGCCAAAGCCGGGTCTCTATAGACAGCCAGATGCCTTCTCCTGCAAGGTCTGAGAAAGAAAGCTAAGGCAACCTCTTCTAGTAAGTTGGCCTTTTACTCCTCTTTCTTAAATGTCACCTGAAATGTTTTATCCCTAATGCGGGTATTTTTAGTCCCTCTAGAAATGCAATTGTCTGGGGCCTACTGTTCTGCCTCACTGAGGAACCAAGCGCCATGCTCCCACCAGGGGGCAGCACTATCGCACCCAGCCCTACAGTCAGGAGGCGTTGGGCAGGGTTTTAAAGCTGTGAAAAATCTCCTTGTCCTCAAATGATGGGTGGGTCAGCCCTTATGCACAGTTGGATCTATGATACGGAGCCTTGTAGATGAGAATAAAGAATGAATTTGGTATTAATGGGGCAGAGGTCATTTGTGACAAACACGAGACCATCACTCCTCTACGTCTAGTGTCATCCTGGTCCCTACCCTAACAGCTTTGAAATCTCACTCTGACCCTGTGAGTCACAATAAAGTCCCACTCCTCAGACTCCCTAGCCTCAGAAGTGCAAACGTAGAGAAAGAGCCACAATTCAGCCCCACTCTGCTCTCTCCAGCATCCCACGATGTCAGCCAAGTGAACGCAGCGGCTCCGGGCAAGGAGGTGATAGAGCCACCTGTCAAGGTGATAGAGCCACCTGTCAAGGTGATGGAGCCACCTGTTAAGGTGATAGAGCCACGTGTCAAGGTGATCGAGAACCAAGTCATTAAAGATCCCAGCCTTTTTGCAGAGGACAAACCAGTGAAGGATAGTGGAAAACCAGAGGACAGGAGCAAAGCATCTGCAGACACTGGCAGGTGAGGAAGGATTTGGGGCTCCCACTCAGAGAGCATCTCAGAGGCCAAGGAAGTGAGGCTGGGCCCCCAGGTCTGAGCAGGAGAGCCTGTCTACTTCCTGATCATGGGGCAGCCCTCACTGCCACTGTGGTGACTGGGAGAGGCCATTGGTGCTCTCGGCCCTTCTCCAGGGGCTGGGGCAGTGTTTACCGCCCAGGTCAATTTCCCAGGCCTGGGATGCAGAGAAGGCCCAGCCCTTGCCTTTGCCGTGTCTGGGAAGGTTTCTTAGCACAATGGAGCTGGAGGGTTCTATCAGGAGGAGGGACTGGGTCCACCTGAGAGGAAGATCTAGCCAAAGCCAGCACAACGCAGGGCGCCCAGGTTTCCTTTTCCATGACGAACGCACCCAATCTCTCTTCCAGCTCTGCCGGACAAGGAGGGAGCTCCACAGTGCTGGTCTCCACGCTGGTGCCCCTGGCCCTGGTGCTAGCACTGGGGGCCATGGCGGTGGCGGTGGTTAGAGCCCGGCATAGGAGGAACGTTGGTGAGTCCCGGGATGCTCCCTGCCCCCCACCTCCCACCCCTTGGGTGGGGGGCTGCCATGTTCTCTGCTCTTTCATCAACTCAAGAAGACGTTCTGGGGAAGCAGGGTGGGGAAAGATAAACCCGCAGGTGCCCCAAACTTACATGAAGTGCTGCTATCTCTGGAAGGCCACCCCCCGCTGGCTCAGGTCCAAGTTCAGAGGCAGAGCTGCTAAAGAGGACAGCAGGGTGCTCGGGCACCTGCACTTCCAGCCTAATCTGAGAACTGATTGGATGTGTGACTTTGGGTGTCCCATTTCACACCTCACGGTTCAGGAAAGGGATCATCATACCACCTCAGAGGGCAGAGGAGAGAACAACACGAGGCGCTGTGCACGGAAAGGTCTCAAAGTGACAAACAGACCAGGGATTAGTGAGCATTGATTATTCATGAACCAAGACTGGGAGGGGACTCAGAACACTTCCATTCTGCTTTGGGTCATAGAGATGAGCAGCCAGAGACCCTGCCCCCTCCACCCCCCAGCTGTCCTGGGAGGCTCCCTCTGAGAGAAGCAGCACGCCCTGCTCTCATATGTCCTCAATCCCATCCCTACACCAACTCCTCTTTCCCCTGACAGACCGGGTTTCGATTGGAAGCTACAGGACAGACTTCAGCATGACGGACTTGGAGAACTCCAGGGATTTTGGAACCAATGACAACATGGGAGCCTCTACGATCACTATCACTCAGGAGACATCTCTCGGAGGAGAAGATGGTACGTCCCTCACTTGAGAGGATGCCTGACCCCTAGGAGAGCAAGAATTAGAGCTGATTCTACCCGGCAGGTGTGGCTCAGTGGTTGAGCATAGACCTATGCACCAGGAGGTCGCCGGTTCGATTCCCAGTCAGGGCACATGCCCAGGTTGCAGACTCGGTCCCCAGTATGGGGTGTGCAGGAGACAGCCAATCAATGATTCTCGCTCACCATTGATGTTTCTACCTCTCTCTCCCTCTCCCTTCCTCCCTTTCTAAAAATCAATGAAAACATTTTTTTTAAAAAAGAACTAGAGCTGACTCTGCGTGGGGTGGGAATGGGAGGCTAGTGAGGGCTAATTCACCCCCTTCTCTTCACACAGAGCTCACGGCCACCACCGAGGACACTGTGGAGACCCAAGAGCCCAAGAAGGCCAAGAGGGTAAGGGTGAGGAGGGGGAAGGAGGCCTCCTTCGGTGACAAAGAAACACAGTATGAGGGACTGCAGTTAGACATTAGGAATAACTACCTCAGAGTAGGGCTGTGTCAGCAGGGGCGGCGGGATGAGCAGTGTTCAGGAGAAATGTCTGAGGCTGAGACGCATTTTACTGGCGTGGCGCTGGGCAGGTAGATGCACTATGTGTATAGGCTGAACGCACACAGGAGGGAGGGAGGCTGGGGAGGAGCAAGGCAAGTGCATGAAGTTTGGCCCCAGCGTGGGAAGGTCAAATATGAAAGGCTAGTGGTTAGGCAGGTGCTCCTCCTGGGCTGGGGGCCCATGGACTTCATGTCACCCACCCTCCCTTGAGAGTTTGCTCATGACGGGCCTTTCGCCTGGGCCTGGAAGACATTTGAGGCTGGTGGGCAATTTGATAGTCACTAGATGTCCCTCCCCACCCCAACCAAGTGCGACTCCCCTACCAGAGGGGACTCCTGCCTTTGGGTCACTATCACCCTCCCCTCGGCCTCCCTGATCCCAAGGTGATAGCGTTTATCAGGTCTGCTCTCCCTCACAGCAGCCAAGCCCAGCATTTGGAACGATTAGGGGAACCAGTTAGTTCTGGAGACAGCCTTTCCCCTCCAGTCTTGTGCTGTGTCCCTGGGCGGGTAGAGGAAGCCTGGACCACTCACCCAATGTGGCTGCTGCCCGCCTCGACCCCTTGCCCTCATGAACTGTGTGGGCAGAGCTTCCGGGGACAGGCCCAGGCAGCAGAGGGTTCCACTCCATGTGTCGGAAGGAGGTAGTGAGACCAGAGGGAGATATTTTTAGAAGCTGTGACTTTCCGTTTCTTGTTGGTAAGCATGGGGGCTGGCGTAAGCACAGGTAGTCAACACAGGCTTGGGTTGCGGGGCCAGGGTTATGAATTCAGGATATTTAGTGTATCCTCTCCTTCCGACCCCACTTGCTGAGCGAATGCTCCAAACACTGACTCCTCTCTCGTTCCCCTTCAGTCCTCCAAGGAGGAAGCTGACATGGCCCACACTGCCTTCCTGCTCCAGGCCAACAACATGGCGACCAACGTCCAAGATGGCCCCAGCGAAGCCTAGGCCAAGCGCCCTGCCTCCTCCTTCCACCCTTGACAATCACCTTCAGAATCACGTTGATCCTTAGGGCCCTCAGCTCGGGGGGCTCGCTGCCTGCACGCAACCCCACCCAGGCTTTTCCTACCTAGTCCCTCTTCAGTGGCATCCAATCCTGGCTTCATTGTTCCTGTTGGGGGCCAGGTGATGTGAGGAGTTCCTGCCTGAGGGAACTTCTTTCTAATGCGACAACTAAGGTGTGGAAGGAGAAGGAATTTTTAGAAAGGCCTCCTCAAAAAAAAAAAAAGAAAAGAAAAGAAAAGAAAAAAGAAAAAAAGAGCTCAGGAAGGGTGGGAGGTAATTTTAGAAAGGAGGGCCATTCAGGGCTTCTCTGTACCCTTATTATGGGATGGCAATGGGATTCTCCTCTTTACTCCATCCCTTCATCTCTTATCCCCTCCCTCCCATCCATCCTCTCTTCTTCTTTCCTTCATTGAAAATACATATACGAACTCTGGCCAGATAGCTCAATTGGTTAGAGCGTCATCCTGATACTACAAGGTTGCAGGTTCCATCCCTGGACAGGACACATATAGGACGCAACCATGAATGCATAAATAAGTGGAACAATAAATCAACGTTTCTCTCTTTCTCTCTCAAATCGATCAATAAATAAAAATGAAACACACACACACACACACACACACACACACACACACATTAATCCTCACCAGAACCCAGGCATCTAGCAGAATGAACAGAGATGCTGCACACCCAGCCTGCATGCAGCCTTTGTGTAAACATCACTGAGTCCTTGGAAGCCACAGCTCCTCTCAGTGTATTGTACTCACTACGACCTGAAATCCTCATCAGGTATACTCACCTCTCTGTCCACCTTGGGACAAATCAGAAAATGTCTAGAGTCCTGAGGTCTTAGGGATCCTGTAACATGGGCATATATACAATGAACCTTAAATACACGTTCTTAACACTTTACAGGGTAGAAAATTGAGGTCCTGAGAGGTGAAGAGGTTTGCTTAGGGGCACCAAATGAGTTACACTGATTTGGTGACTCCTGTTTTCTTGGCCAGGGATCTCTCTACAAGAGCCCCTGCTCTCCTGGTGAAAACAGGATTCTAGAACAAGCAGAAGGGGAGGGAGGGGGAGAGGAAGACAAAATTGCAAATGGAGGCTGGTCTTTCCCAAGCCCCACCTCTGGTAAGACAACCGGTTCCCTTTCTGTCACTCACATGAATCTAAGAGGATAAGAGAATGGTCCAACACTCACAGCCCCTGTATTAGAAGAGTACCAAGTGGAAGGGAAGATAAGAGGGTATGTGATGGTGCCAAGGGAGGGTCTGGTCTCCAAAGAACTAAGGTTTAAGGTCTTTCTCCCTCTGAGCTCTGTACCTCCACCAGCTGGCACTTGCTACCAAATAAAAATGTGACTTAATTAATAATTAAAGACTATGATTTCCACCAAAGAGGCTTAGACTGCATCTGTCCCCCATGCATTCTGTTTCCCAGACAACCCTTTCAGAGAAGTTTGCTTGGACCCCACTTTCAGGCACCCCATAACATGTATCTAAAACAAAGTCTCTTCTATCTCCATCACTGGGCTGAGGAGAGCTATGAAATTCCCTCCAAATGGGACCAAGATTATATTCAATACAAGAATAATTTGGTCACCACCAGTGGTCAAGACCCCAAACCTCTGTGTAATAGAACATAATTAAGACTGTTTATAACAGAACAAACTGAAAGCAGGTACAATCGGTGCTCCTCTTAGGCATTAAAAAAAATCTTGGTGAAGGATCCATAAAATACTTGACCTTGAATTTCATACCTTAATGGGGTATCCTCCAAGATCAAGAAACTGTTCATCAAAACTCAAGTTACCAAATAAATAAACTCCCTCCACAGGAATATCACCTAGAAGCTACTTAAAGAATAGCTTGGCTTTTAGAATAGTTGATCCAAAGTCACTTGGAGGACAGTGATTAGATTAAAAAACACACCAAAAAACCACCATTGTCTGCTAAGGCCATTCCTAGGTTCTAGCACTGAAACTTGTCAGAACCTATAAGCGCCCACCCCAGCCCAGACTCCTCCTCCGGGCTCTGTGTATGGAGAGTTCTCTCTGGGAGAGAGTTCTTCCCAGCCTTCTCTCCTGCCTGGGGTGGGGCACAACCTTCACTTCCACCCAGGCCTTGAACATGATGCTTCTGATGCCACATGCTTCCTAAGCCTGCCCTTGACAGGACTCAGACATCAGTCCTCCTCGTCTCCCCTCCAGCCCCACCAACCCCAGTGCCCAGTCCTGAGCCTTGGGCTCCTCCCTGGCCGGGAGGGGTGGTTGTCTGGAATATTTCTCTGTCCTCTACAACGGGGATACATACCTAGCTTCTCCGGAATGAGAGCAAATCAGTCCAGGAGCCCCAACACTACAGGTGTGTATCAAACCCTATCACAGTTTTACCCCTGGGAAACTGCTCTCTGACTCACCAAAGGGTCATGCTTGGGGCAGAGGCTTAAGGTGCAGCTTCCATATTAATGCCAACAACCTGCAGCCAATCCTAAGCTTGTGCAGCCTATATCAGTCCTTACAATCAAAAGCCAAGATATGTCACTAAAGCTGCAGACAATCCTATATTATTCTTGACTGATACTGTCAATAGGTGATAGCAAGTACAACAATGTACTCCCCAAAGTGCACCTGGTTCTATGCAGCTTATTGGACAGAGAAACCCTTCAATGAAGAAGAAAGTGGGTTAATAGCCAACATGGGATACTAATAAGGCTCAAAGCTAGAAAGTGCCAAGGCAGGACCAGAACCCAGGACTTCTGACTGGGTCATGGAAAGGGCCACTTGAGGATCTCAGCCTTCAGTCTGAAAAGGCCCAGAAGATGGCCCTTGGGAGCCTGGTCACAGGGAGGTCAAAGCAGGGTGATGCATTAGTCAAGCAGAACCAATAACGACCATCTCCACCTAATGACAATGGCTACTCTCCCCTGCTCTCAGACATTACTCCAGACCCTGTGTGAAGCCCTTTGCAATGCTGACCCATGCAATCCTCACAACAACCTTCTGAGAAATATTCTTCTTCTCCCATCTGTAACATAGGGAGGACAATGAAGCCTAAGTTACTAGAGATTAAATTTGACCAGAGGAGAAGTGTTCTAAGTCCTCGGTACCAGTGTATGTGGTATATTTATTGCCTCCACCTACCAGTCATCGGGCTCTGAATGTTTCCATCCTGTCCATCCCTTCTGATCACTCATTGCTCCTAGAGGATGTTTGACCATCGAGCCTCCTTCCATTAGTGTATTTCAGCTGATCAGATCTTCTCCTGGGAGCAGGAGCACCAGGGCAATACAGCAGCCCTGAATCAGGAAGGAGAAATGAGGTTAAATGAGAGACAAATAAGAGAGGGTAAAGAGAAAAACAGTAAGTGTTTTCCACTTTGCAATTTAGCCAGGCATCAGCCTTCCCTGGGGCTCAACCCTGAGACCCTGGGGCAGCAACGTGGAGGCAGAGACTGGACAAGCCAAGGTCTTGAAGCTTTGAGACTCGAAACATTCACTTCCTGTCTACATGTCCTCAGACCCCTAATTCTTGCTCTTAACAACCCAATGTGGTTTTTCTGAGGGTTTTATTTGGGCCACACAAGATGTGAAAATCTCTCCTACCCACTCATCCCACACATCCTCAGCACCTCCTGGCAGGCCCCAGCCACAGCAAAGACAATTCTCATCTTCACACACCACATGTTCACACATCACACACTCAAACTACACAGCACACATTCACGTATCATACAACACAATATGCACACTCAGCCACACGTCACATATTCACATATCACACACACACACACACACATCATTATGCCACACATCATATATGCACACACTAACATCACACATAACATTCCACCGCACACCTCACACTGTCACACACTTACACATTACAGCTATATGTCACTCAACTCTCACCCATTACACACTACACATTCACGCTCACACACACTCACGCCCACAATCACACCTATGACACATTCCTTCATTTGTTCTCTCTCTTTCCAAGGCAATCCCAGACATGGAACCCATAGCTGCCCAGCTATGTGGCAAAGCCCTCGAAGTCAGGAAGGATGGAGGCTAAGGGGACCTGTGGCCTCTGGCCTTCACTCACTCTAATCAGAGCCTGAGGCTGCCCACTGACCCGTTGGCCGAGTGTGGTTGCAGGAAGTCACGAGTACAGCTGCTCCGGGCTGGTAGAGACACAGATAGGGTGGGCAGGGCAGGTTGCCCGCCCCCACACACGCTTCCTCTGCACCTGCTCTGAGCCTCACTCTCGATTTCCACTGCGGACGTCATTGTTTTGTGTTTGGAGGAGCTTGTGATAAATCTGGTGTGTAGGGGCCAGGGGGAGGGGTGCGCACAGGACCACTGAGGAGCCTGGAGGCCCGTGAGCCACATCCACCCAGAAGGATGTGGGAAGAAGCCTCAGTCCCCCGTGGGCACCAGAGGCAGCAGCGCCCAGAGGTGTGGCCCTGGGAACCGACCTGGGATGCAACATCCAGAAATGAAGTTTTGGAAATTCTCTGATAAGTGACAGCCCGCACATCGCCATGTTCAAGGGCTCTTAAAGCACTTCCATGAGTTTGGTTCCTGCTGGGTCTCATGAAAGCTTGTGAGGTAGGCAGGGCAGGGACCATCCCTATTTTATCAATGACAAAACTGAGGCTCAAAGCTAGAAAGTGCCAAGGCAGGACCAGAACCCAGGACTTCTGACTGGAACCCATGATACCTCGTGACTGATCACCTCAGTGTCTCTCCCTTCAGCTCCTGGGCTGTGCCCTTGGACACTTGAGGTCTGGAAGATATAGCTGTACTAAGTTGCTGTGACTTTAGGCAGAGTTCTGTGTGACCTGTCACACCCTCTCCTGTCATCACCCTTGAGGTCATTGGACAGTTACCTGGGCTCCTGCCAGAGCCAGCCCCTTAGGGAGATATAGGAGATATGAAGGGTGGCTGATGTGAGGTTAAGACCCCAGGAACAATGTTTTGTAAGAGGGAATGCCAGGGATCATCTATTCCCACCTTCATTTCTAGATAAAGAAATCGAGGTTCAAAACCCATAGTATTCCCATATAGCAGATGCTCAAATAATTGTCAAATAAGTTCAAGGGCTACAACCAGCACCTCTGACTCAGGCACAAGCTTCTGTACACACAGCCTCCCTCAGACCAAGAAAAGTGGTGATGAGGCTCTTATACCCTGAAGACAAGAAAAAAGTAGAAGGACTCTGGCTAAGACATCAATGAATACACATAAGGCATGGGAGGCCCCTCCAAGAGAAAGTGCCCAAGACAAAGAAATATCATGCCTGGTAGTTTCTGGTGGTCTTTAGGATCTGCGTAGAAGCCCTTTGAACCCTGATGACCCAATCTCGTGCAATACATGTTTTCTCAACTCCTGACTTCCGTTGTGGTTTGCTGATGTTTTCTTTTTTGGTCTAAGACTAGCAAGCAAATAAGAGGGGCAGTCATTTCCTCATTTTCAAGTCTTCATCCCCACATGGGCCAGAAATCTCTTTCAAACCCCAGATTGTGACAGTTCCTGGGTGAGCAGTGGATCTTTGTCCCCCGCTCCTGAGGCTCTTGAATGGGACCTTGTCCTGGAAGGAGCCATGGACCTCTGGCTTTGGTTAATTTACTTCCTGCCCACAGGTAAGTGCTGTGGGGAAAGAGCTTACATGTCTGATGAGGTTTGAATTGGCCACGGGTAGAGAAGTGGCTGGTGTCTCCAGCTCTGAGGTTTCTAGACAGAATGAGGTGCAGCCTATACTAGGGCAGGACATGGATGGAGCCAGACGAGGCACTGGAGAACCTCCCCACTCCTTGCTAGTGCTCCTCTCTCCACTCCAGACACATCTCCTGTGGGGTTCACAAGGACTGAAAGTGTCACTTCGCCCAGATGTAGAGCCTATTAATTTGGAACCTTAAAGCAAGTGCCACCAAAGTTCTTTCTTCTTACCTCTACACTCTTTTTCTTTGGATCTCCCTCACTCCTGATCTTCAACTTTCAACACTAAATGAAGACTCCCCAATCCATTCAGTAGCCCTAGTCCATTTCCCAAACTCGGTATCTCAGTTTACAGCTATCTCATTGGTCACCATCCAAACCAGCTAATCTCTCTAGACTATCACTGAGATGAGCTGCAAAATGTTAGAACAGCTCTTCACAACCTCTTTCCATTTGTCCCCAGCCATACTTTGATTCAATCAATAGCCAATTCGTGTGCTTTCTAGATTTCCATCTACCAGGATAAGAAGCAATGGCAGCCTCTACTAGAGATGTAACGGGGGGGGGGGGGGAATGGAAAAGAAAAGAACACACAGTCATCTCGTACCTATTTTTCCCTCTTCCTGCAATTTAACCTACCTATAGTTCCAGATTGATTTTCCTAAAAGCTTGACTCCAATCATAGGATTGCCCTCCCACTGCCTACTGAATTATATACCTCTCCCTTGTGCTTCTCTGTATTTCTGAGCCGGTACATTGCCCCAGCACTTCCCTAACCTCCAGCTAAACAGGACTTCTTGAGTATGTGCTAGACTTACTGCCACCAGCCCTTGATCATTCCATTTCTTCTGCCTGGAACATTCTTCTGCTCACCTCTACCTTCTATGGGTCCTTCAACCATCGCCTCCTTTCTATACACTTTCTAGAACCTTCTCTTTTGAAACCCAATAGCAGATCCCATTCTGCCTTGTATTGTGGTTTGGGGTGTTGCCCACCTCATTTTGTTGATTAAATGGTAATCTCCTTGAGGGTCTAAATGGATGTTTTATTCATACTTGCTTTCTTTCTGATGGCTTGAGTATGGAAGAAAGTCAAATGTTTGTCAAGTTGAAGATCAAAAACCCCTAAAAAGCCCAAGGGAACAGAGTTTTAATGAAGCGTCAGACTGGGTGAGAGGTAGTGAGGCATAAGTGAACACAATGTGAGTAAAATTAAACTCAGACCTCGGGGGGAAAAGGGGTTGGGTGGGAAAGGAAGGTCTCCAGGAGTGAAGGGTGCCTAAATTGTACCACGGTCATATCTTCTAAGCAACACCGTCATTCTATCTGAGCCAGAGGAGTCCAGGCTCTGGGCCTGGTTCTTCTCCATTTGTGCCCATACCCACAGGGTGAGGAATTCACAAGCCCAATGGGATGTGACCATGCCAAGCCCCACCCCCAACCCCCTCTTCTAGACCTTGAATTCTTTGTCCAAGTGTCTGCAGGCCCATTTTCAATGACTGTGTGCACTTCCATCCCAGGGTCTTCTATCCGTTGGCCTATGAAAGGGTGGCACAGGAGTCTGCCTGGGTCGGAGATAGATGGAGCTTATTATACCTGCCAGCTGGGGAATCCATCATGTATATACCAGCACCCTTGTGGTGTTGGCAGAAGCCAGGGATGAGAGAAGCAGGGAGATAAGCAAGAGGCTGGGGCAGGGACGTGGGGGCTTTCTTTCCTTATAGCCATGTTTTAGAGCGAACATCCAAGGAATGTGTGAATTTGTAAAGAGAAGGGGATAGAACCCCGTTTATTTAACAGTTTATTAGCTTTATTTATATCTTAAAACAT